AATTATAACTAATAATTGTCTCTTCGCTAAAATTGGCACGTTCTTATTCGGGTTCGCTTGCCTATATACAAACTATTGTTCTTAAATAATAAGCACAGACCAATTCGGGTCTGCCTGCTTCTCGTAACTTTAAGAAATATAAAACAATTTTGAACACAAAAAATAAATAGTTCAATCTTTCTATTTGTGAAAGCTATTGAAAAAGCTCAATAGCGCAACAACTACAATACATAGAAGTAATGTAATTTACAAAATACATTGTTGCAGGGTCACCAACAATAATTTCAATAGAGTGTAAACTAAAAACAATGACAATGCGACACAAATCGGACTTCAGATTAAGAATTCTCGAATTCGCGACCGCACCACCTCTACTCAACAGTCACACCAATAATTGTGTCTTATTGAATTAAAATATCAGCACAAGAAACAATCGCAATCGCAATGCTGTTGACAGATTTCGCAGCAGATGCGCATGAATGTGTGTGTGTGTACATGTATACAGAAATTCTTGGAATTTGACCCCATCCAACTGCGCAGTAAGACACATAACTTATGGGATTTTCTTAACCAATCTAAATAAAATGTTCTACAGTACATCTTATTGAACCATCAGAACATCTTATTGAACTCAAAAAGAAAATTGCATTTAAAATGTGGCTCAAATTCATGGGCAATATAAGTGTGGTTATTAACTTGATTTATAGCTCTGCGGTGGTAGCGGAAAGGTGGCAATAGGTATTAACTGAGAGGACCTTGATATATATATATATGTATGTATATATATATATATATATATACTAGTCTAAAAGCAATATATCAATTATTTTACTCTAGCTCTTATTATTTACCAAAATTGGTAAAAAAAAGGATTTTGATGTCGATTTTTATCGATTACTTGGAAACGGACCAAGTTATCGAATATCGGAAAATCTGTCTCTAACTGCTATAGTTTCTGATATCCTCGCGTTCATACGTTCGGATAGACGGATGGACGGTTAGACAGACAGACGGACGGATATGGCTGGATTGATTTGGCTGTTGATGCTGATCAAGAATATATGTATGTACTTTATGGGATCGGTGCTTCTATCTTCTGCCTGTTTCATATATTTACATAAATACATTATACTTGTTTTACGCATTTTAATGGGTTCAGGGTATAAAATTAGCACCAATGACCGACTGTATGACAAGGAAACAACAATAATCCTGCAACACTTCAACATACAGCATACAATAAAATAGCTACACAACAAACTAAAGAGTAAACTTAAACAAATACACATAAAATTGCGCTCGCTTGTGTTGAGACTTATTAAATAGCCAAAGAATTTCAATCTCCAAGTCAAGAAGCGCAGACGTATGTTACATGTTTAATTTATTGCTTAAATTAATTTATTTTAATGTTATTTGTTTATTGTTTCTTGGTGTTAGTGCCCTGAAGACGGTTGCCGATAAGCAATCGAATAAAGCCAATTTTTTTCAATTTTTCAATTTTCAATAAACTAAACCCTGGCCCTCGAGCTAGCAAATCAAAATACAAAAAAAATTAAAATTAAATTGTTTATTAAAAAAATTATTTAATGACTGATAACTTTCCCTAGCACTATATCTTACACGATTTGGGTCGAGCAGTTCGAAAGCAGCACCACGAACAGTTCGAAAGCAGCACCACGCTTAGACATAGCAGCGAGTAAACGGTTTATTGCTGCAGAAATGCACACACCATTTGTAGATATGGAAGATATATGCAAGCTCAATATATGCGTAGCCTGACGGAGGCAAGCGGCTCCAATCTCCAATAATCTTGGAACATGAAAATCGTTAAATAAAAAATATGTTTAAGTAACACAAAGGTTAACCCCGTAAAATAACAGTGTTGACTCTTAAATGGTCTTACAAACAATATACAAATATATTGCTGTATATACTATATATTACGCAGGAATATGTTGCTAGATTAATATAATTGCGGATAGGTTGCAATTGAATTTAGAATAAAGAACGCGGAATGAAATGTTTTCTGTTTGAATTGTTTGCATTATGTCGGTCATGGACTTTACCACCGCATACAAAGCAACGAACCTGCTTTCGAAATTTAAAAATAATAAGTAAATAAATCTATACCTACATTTATTATATTAATAAAAGGGAGTCAATACAGTCTATTGTACCTAGTGCTCGCTAATGAACAAGAGTTGTTCGACTTTATGGCAGTGGCTCGTAACCAACCAGGAGCGGCGTGAGTTGCCTCTGATTAGGCAAGTCCAGAAAACATGTGTAGATTTAGTTAACGTATTGTCTCGATAGTGGGTCTGTTATCCAGAACTACTATAAAGATTTGACCAATATCATCTAGGTACTATTTAGAAAAGATCACAATATTTTTCATTTAATGTTGAGGCCTTGGTAACAAGCACCTGCAGTTTCCGCATTCTCTTCTGGAGCTTGTTTACCTCTAATATGTTCAGCGCCTAGCACACCGACTTTGGTCACAGGTCATTGAAGGATCTCGATAGCTATCCCGACGACTGTTCGTATTGTCTCCTTGTCTTTTTCCAGGATGGTTTGCTTGATAATGATCACGTTTGCTTACAGGACGATGGAGGTGTTCGTTTGACAAATCACTTCATGTACCGCGCAAGATCACGCACGTATTCATACACCCAATATGGCCAGAATTGACTGATGAACAGTTGTCTTTCTTCCGTCGTTGGTACCTAATAGCAGCTGCGAAATTCGGTGGTGCGTGCGCAGCAACTTTTATAAATTAGTATCCAGTAGCATATAAGTAGCATCGTAGTCAAATATTGTGGGATTTATTATACCCGCTTTGGCTAGTGTAATTGTAAGTATCAAGTTTATTTGATTTATTAGTATTATATTTCTTACTAATAGTGTTTCATATAAATGCGGTGTGTTTACCAATTAATTTCTTTTACATTTCATTATTTCGTTCACCGTGTCGGTGAGTTTGTTAATTTGTGTCTGTGTTTGTGTATTAACTACCTGCCTATTGTTCGCATCAATCAACTTTGACTCGGACCACCTTACATTTTCGAGTTCAGAGGCGTCTGGCCTGATATTAATTTAAGTGCTGAACCCAAGAAATCTAAGCTCCTTGCCATTCTGTGGTGCACTTTTACTACGGACAATAGATTTCTGATATGATCTGTATCCACGTCAAGTAGTTTTCGTATGTGCGACTGAGAGAATAATTTGATTTGTTTTAAAGTTTCATCTGTTATGGTAGAGAGGTCTGTTAAATTGCTTGAGTGCTTCAGAAAATCACGTTGCTCCTGTACCATTACCTTTCCGTCGATTACCGGGATATAGTTGGAGCGGGAGTAGTCGATAATCCGACCCTGTATTACTCCTTACACTTGGAGGATTGCAAGCGAAATCCTGTACAAATAAAATAAGCAAAGAATGGAAATTGTTCAAAATAATACGCAGAAAACAGCAGTAATGACCCATTGTATGAGAAGAAAACCACACAACAAATTTTGATGCAACAACAATCTTACAACAAGAACAACACAAGCGACACACACCAGAAATGTTACAGATAATTAACACAACAAAGGACAAACGACTAACTACAAGAAGGCCCCGAAAATTGCGCTCACTTGTACAGACACCTTTTGAACAGCCAAACAGACTCAGTTCAAATTTCCGCGTCATAAAGCGCAGACGTGTAAAATAATGTGTCAATTTATTGTTATATATATTTTATTGTTAACTGTTTTTTGTACCTTGTTAGTGCCCTAAAGACGGTTTGCCGATGCGCAACAGAAATATATAAAAATTAATAAAATTGTTTTCATTGTTTTATTAAAACAAACCCAGAGTCCGAGCCAGCCACCTAAACAATTATTTTGTTATAATCTATATTTTATCGATATATTTCTGCTGCAAATCGGGAACTATCTTCAGAGCACTAACCAAGAGACCACAAAGAAATTAGACGCGAAATTAAACAACATTTGACCAAAAACGACTTCTCACAGAATGTAATTAATACATTTTTACATAGACAACAATGTAGAACACAATAGCCTACAGAACTTGTCAAAATATATATGTCTTGAATACATGTACCACAATTATCAGTACGTCTCACAAACTCAGACTACTACAACAAGCAAGAAATAAAAGTAGCACACAACCCTACGAAAACATTACAACAAAATTTTCAACAAAACTACAATACATAGAAGTAATGTAATTTACAAAATACATTGTTGCGGGGTCACCAACAATAATTTCAATAGAGTGTAAACTAAAAACAATGATAATGCGACACAAATCGGACTTCAAATTAAGAATTCTCGAATTCGCGACAGACCGCACAACCTCTACTCAACAGCCATACCAATAATTGTGTCTTATTGAATTAAAATATCAGCACAAAAAATAATCGCAATCGCTGTTGACAAATTTCGCAGCAGATGCGCATGAATGTGTGTGTGTACATGTATACAGAAATTCTTGGAATTTGACCCCATCCAATTGCGCAGTAAGACACATAACTTATGGGATTTTCTTAACCAATCTAAATAAAATGTTCTACGGTACATCTTATTGAACCATTAGAACATCTTATTGAACTCAAAAAGAAAATTGAATTTAAAATGGGGCTCAAATTCATGGGCAATATAAGTTGGGTTATTAACTTGATTTATAGCTCTGCGGTGGTAGCGGGAAGGTGGCAATAGGTATCAACTGAGAGGAACTTGATATATATATATATATATATATATATATATATATAAATTAAGATCCTTCCAGTCCTGTAGTGGATGAAGATTAGGTTGAGAGGCGACTGTGCCTCTTATTGCTGGCCTCGGGTTCAGACAATAAAACAAATTGCTTAACGGCCAAGTGCCGGAGTGAATATTTATTTAAGCGACTTATTGGAAGAGCGCTGAATTCAAAACTAAAAACTTAATACACAGAATATTTCACTTAAGCTAAGCCAAAACTCGCATCACGCCACAATGTCATGGTCGGCAAGCCGACTCAGCAAAATCTTAGGCAATAACGGAAACTCTCGCAGCAAAACAAAAGTGTCCGGTTACCGCCGCTGACCATTGCAGTTATAGCGCGCTGATACAAAGTATGCAGTGTCGTAATTGCGAGGGCTGTTCCTTAACTTATGAAGCACGCGATAGCGAGGGTTGATTATAAACTTATGAAATATCCTATATTAAGTGTTATGTGTTAACTACCGGCGACGACTTCTCGTAACTGCTTCGCAGACTCCAATGCGTCGATGATCCGCAAAAGAGTGAGGCCAATGCAGATTAAAGCACAGCATATGGCTCCAATGATGAATGCCACACGATAAGCTTGATCAGTTCCGGCGTCTTTTTTGAATTGCTGTATCACCTCCAAATTACGTTCACTCAAACGATAAAGGTAAGGGAGGCTGAGGACATCTTGGCTGGCAGTGATGTTCAGCAAGGGAGAATTGGCAATACCCGGGACTCTATTGCGTACGTTGTTGTGATTGTAAAACAGAGTCCCGTTAATTGCGACTCGGTCTCCGAACGTGATGAGATGCGTGCCTTGTACCTGGATCTCAGTGCCGTTGTCCACCTGAATCCTTGCGGACCCGTCGTTGAGGATGATGATTCCGTCAACTACGTGGGTGATTATTTCCACGTTGCTCGGCTGGATCTCGCAATGTGCCGTTCCACCTGCATGGAGCTCTTTGGCACATGAACTCTCTAATGCCAGACGACAAAATGTGGCTCCAGGTGAAGCGGCGCAACTCAGCAGTATGTGGGTTTCTCCATCGCATTCGGCTATGACGTTGTCAAACAATCGCAATATGAAGTTCGTGTGGACGACACGATAAATCGTAATTTTTCTGCAAGCTTTCTTAATCTTTGGAAATTTAATTATAAAATGTATAGTGTTAATGGATTAAAGAACTTTTACGGACGCAACGGACATAAGATCTCCTATGGGAGTGTTGGTGGGTTCCTCTAGCCAAATTGATTTCAAATCTCAGTGGTCCAAAATGCTAGCCTTCAATGTTAGCCTTCGCATGAGTAATAGCAAGCATTAAATTTTGTAACTCCATCATCAGCATTCTTTTTCTAGTCATGGCTAATAAATGGCTAGTGTCAACTTGTGAGTTTTTGGTTATCTTGAGAACTTTATTGACAGTGATTGGTAACTGGTAAAGCTGGTCTTGAACTCTAGTGTTTATTTCTATTTGCCTATTGTTAGCATTTGTGTCTTTCTAAAAATGTTTTTATTTCACCTTTCCCAACTTTCACTGAGAAAATACATAAGTGTTTTGTGAAGAAGAACGTACAATAAGATATTAAAGAGGTGTATTCTGTGAAGGTGATATTTCGCTGTGTGGTGCCCTACCAGGTAGGCGAACAACAGTTTAAGCCATCTCTTCTCTTCACAATTGCTGTAGTTGTTGCCATTTTCCGAGGCCCTGCAGAAGAATTTACGAGACCCTTTATATATATTAGCAAATATGGATGCAGAACAGGCTTTATGTGGCAATCTTTTTCACGTGTAAACACAATAGAGTGAGCCCAATTTTATGGCAGTGGCTCGTAACCAACCAGGAGCGGCGTGAGTTGCCCCTGATTAGGCAAGTCCAGAAAACATGTGTAGATTTAGTTAACGTATTGTCTCGATAGTGGGTCTGTTATCCAGAAGTACTATAAAGATTTGACCAATATCATCTAGGTACTATTTAGAAAAGATCACAATATTTTTCATTTAATGTTGAGGCCTTGGTAACAAGCACCTGCAGTTTCCGCATTCTCTTCTGGAGCTTGTTTACCTCTAATATGTTCAGCGCCTAGCACACCGACTTTGGTCACAGCTCATTGAAGGATCTCGATAGCTATCCCGACGACTGTTCGTATTGTCTCCTTGTCTTTTTCCAGGATGGTTTACCGCGCAAGATCACGCACGTATTTATACACCCAATATGGCCAGAATTGACTGATGAACAGTTGTCTGTCTTCCGTCGTAGGTACCTAATAGCAGCTGCGAAATTCGGTGGTGCGTGCGCAGCAACTTTTATAAATTAGTATCCAGTAGCATATAAGCTTTTTACCTGAATAATATAGCTCACACCTGTAAGTTATGTGATTTTTTCAATTGTAGATGTTGATGATGATTCAGACCCTCGTCACAAGTGCTGAGATTGGTAAACTTGTAGATTATGTTCGGAAAGCAACTAGCCTTCCAAATCACTGACCTTGTGGCTCAGCAATGAAACAACTAGTAACGGACTGATAACGGCAAGTGCCGGAGCAGTATATTTGAAGAAGTTGTTCCTACAAAGTTGGTTACAAACCAAACTAGAATTAAAACATTGAATTAGATCTGAACCCTAAGGCTAGGCGCATAAGTCTTAGCTACTATATCCGGCAAGCCGATTGGGCATACTCCAACACTGTCGCTTGCGGCATAGGCAAGTGTCAGGTTACCGCTGCTGGCCGCAGTGGCCGGGCACTGAACTCGTAGCTCAGCAGAATGTCGCAGTAAAGCAAAGTGCCCTACAACATTCTTGCGTTCTTATAAACAAAAGTGTGTTCTTATGACATAAATATGAAGTGCAATTCTTATGTGTTGACTACTCCTCTCTCAAGCTTTTGACCGTTCCCGGTTATTTTATAGCTGTTAATGGTTTTTATTCCACCTTCTGTACTTCCTTCGATGCTTGCCTTCTCTTTACAATTTGCCAAACGATGTGAAAGCCAATGCCAACGACACTGAGGATGATGCCTGCTGCAATCCAAATCTTATGAGACCCAGAGGCCTTCAATTCGTCCTCGAAACTTCTGATGACGCGCAAATTGCGGTTGTTCATCCTTTGTAGTTGGGGCATGCTTAGCACTGGATCGTGGCTGATGATGCTGAGTAGAGGCGACCCTGCCACTTCTGGCGATCGGGCTAACATCTCGCGCTGGTTTACATATTTTGTGCCGTTGATTATGGCCGAAGAAAGGAATGTGGGGAGGTGTGTCTAGTTTGTAGTAATCTCTGGACTATCGTCTGTGCTGACCTTGGCAGCACTCTCATTGATAATGATAATACCGTCATCGACTTGTGTGGTGGGCTTTAGGTGGTGCGTGCGGCAAAGGGCTGTGCTGCCGGCGTCTAGTGCTTGTGCGTAGGTGTCTTGCGCTGCCAATTTACAGACGGCGGCGTAGGTCGTCGTTACTCATTCATTGACCGCTAGAATGTCATTGTCGCATTCGGCTATTGTATCATCTTGTAGCTGTAGTGTGACGTGTTGGTGTGCCACCGGAAAGATGGTGATTTTCTTGCAAAAGAGCTTGACCCTTGGATACGCTATTAATATATGGACAATGTTCTCGGACTGAAGAACCTTGATTTTAGACGCTTCGGTTGGGTTAACTATGGGAATTTCGACAGGATGTTTATTTATAATTGATTTCAAATCATCGTGGTCAAATATTGTGGGGTTTATTATACCCGCTTTGGCTAGTGTAATTGTAAGTATCAAGTTCGATATTTGATTTATAAGTATTATATTTCTTACTAATAGTGTTTCATATAAATGCGGTGTGTTTACCAATTAATTTCTTTTACATTTAATTATTTCGTTCAACGTGTCGGTGAGTTTGTTAATTTGTGTCTGTGTTTGTGTATTAATGACTACCTGCCTATTGTTCGCATCAATCAAATTTGACTCGGACCACCTTACATTTTCGAATTCAGAGGCGTCTAGCCTGATATAACCTTGAGTGCTAAATCTCGGGAACCATCTTCAGAGCACTAACCAAGAGACCACAAAGAAATTGGACACGATATTAAACAACATTTGACCAAAAACGACTTCTCACAGAATATAATTAATACATTTTTAAATAGACAACAATGTAGAACACAATAGCCTACAGAACTTTTCAAAATATATATGTCTTTAATACAAGTACCACAATTATCAGTACGTCTCACGAACTCAGAATACTACAACAAGCAAGAAATAAAAGTAGCACACAACCCTACGAAAACATGACAACAAAATTTTAAACAATACTACTGTCTGGTTACGCAGCCAAAACAACTGGAGCGACTTCGCAACTGATAAGAGCAGCATCTTAATTTTATCTTATAATACTCGCTCTGCAAAACAAGGGCCTAAATTTCGCTCTTAAGAATTCATTTACATAGAGCTGCCGCTCTTCGCTGTAACAATCGTTTTATTGCCCTAGCTTTACTTATGCGAAGGCCTCGATGCTGCGCATCGCGTTAGTTAAGTTCGTTCGCTTCATGCATTTGGTACGCATCGGCCACTTGCATTACTCAAAATTATAACTAATAATTGTCTCTTCGCTAAAATTGGCACGTTCTTATTCGGGTTCGCTTGCCTATATACAAACTATTGTTCTTAAATAATAAGCACAGACCAATTCGGGTCTGCCTGCTTCTCGTAACTTTAAGAAATATAAAACAATTTTGAACACAAAAAATAAATAGTTCAATCTTTCTATTTGTGAAAGCTATTGAAAAAGCTCAATAGCGCAACAACTACAATACATAGAAGTAATGTAATTTACAAAATACATTGTTGCAGGGTCACCAACAATAATTTCAATAGAGTGTAAACTAAAAACAATGACAATGCGACACAAATCGGACTTCAGATTAAGAATTCTCGAATTCGCGACCGCACCACCTCTACTCAACAGTCACACCAATAATTGTGTCTTATTGAATTAAAATATCAGCACAAGAAACAATCGCAATCGCAATGCTGTTGACAGATTTCGCAGCAGATGCGCATGAATGTGTGTGTGTGTACATGTATACAGAAATTCTTGGAATTTGACCCCATCCAACTGCGCAGTAAGACACATAACTTATGGGATTTTCTTAACCAATCTAAATAAAATGTTCTACAGTACATCTTATTGAACCATCAGAACATCTTATTGAACTCAAAAAGAAAATTGCATTTAAAATGTGGCTCAAATTCATGGGCAATATAAGTGTGGTTATTAACTTGATTTATAGCTCTGCGGTGGTAGCGGAAAGGTGGCAATAGGTATTAACTGAGAGGACCTTGATATATATATATATGTATGTATATATATATATATATATATACTAGTCTAAAAGCAATATATCAATTATTTTACTCTAGCTCTTATTATTTACCAAAATTGGTAAAAAAAAGGATTTTGATGTCGATTTTTATCGATTACTTGGAAACGGACCAAGTTATCGAATATCGGAAAATCTGTCTCTAACTGCTATAGTTTCTGATATCCTCGCGTTCATACGTTCGGATAGACGGATGGACGGTTAGACAGACAGACGGACGGATATGGCTGGATTGATTTGGCTGTTGATGCTGATCAAGAATATATGTATGTACTTTATGGGATCGGTGCTTCTATCTTCTGCCTGTTTCATATATTTACATAAATACATTATACTTGTTTTACGCATTTTAATGGGTTCAGGGTATAAAATTAGCACCAATGACCGACTGTATGACAAGGAAACAACAATAATCCTGCAACACTTCAACATACAGCATACAATAAAATAGCTACACAACAAACTAAAGAGTAAACTTAAACAAATACACATAAAATTGCGCTCGCTTGTGTTGAGACTTATTAAATAGCCAAAGAATTTCAATCTCCAAGTCAAGAAGCGCAGACGTATGTTACATGTTTAATTTATTGCTTAAATTAATTTATTTTAATGTTATTTGTTTATTGTTTCTTGGTGTTAGTGCCCTGAAGACGGTTGCCGATAAGCAATCGAATAAAGCCAATTTTTTTCAATTTTTCAATTTTCAATAAACTAAACCCTGGCCCTCGAGCTAGCAAATCAAAATACAAAAAAAATTAAAATTAAATTGTTTATTAAAAAAATTATTTAATGACTGATAACTTTCCCTAGCACTATATCTTACACGATTTGGGTCGAGCAGTTCGAAAGCAGCACCACGAACAGTTCGAAAGCAGCACCACGCTTAGACATAGCAGCGAGTAAACGGTTTATTGCTGCAGAAATGCACACACCATTTGTAGATATGGAAGATATATGCAAGCTCAATATATGCGTAGCCTGACGGAGGCAAGCGCCTCCAATCTCCAATAATCTTGGAACATGAAAATCGTTAAATAAAAAATATGTTTAAGTAACACAAAGGTTAACCCCGTAAAATAACAGTGTTGACTCTTAAATGGTCTTACAAACAATATACAAATATATTGCTGTATATACTATATATTACGCAGGAATATGTTGCTAGATTAATATAATTGCGGATAGGTTGCAATTGAATTTAGAATAAAGAACGCGGAATGAAATGTTTTCTGTTTGAATTGTTTGCATTATGTCGGTCATGGACTTTACCACCGCATACAAAGCAACGAACCTGCTTTCGAAATTTAAAAATAATAAGTAAATAAATCTATACCTACATTTATTATATTAATAAAAGGGAGTCAATACAGTCTATTGTACCTAGTGCTCGCTAATGAACAAGAGTTGTTCGACTTTATGGCAGTGGCTCGTAACCAACCAGGAGCGGCGTGAGTTGCCTCTGATTAGGCAAGTCCAGAAAACATGTGTAGATTTAGTTAACGTATTGTCTCGATAGTGGGTCTGTTATCCAGAACTACTATAAAGATTTGACCAATATCATCTAGGTACTATTTAGAAAAGATCACAATATTTTTCATTTAATGTTGAGGCCTTGGTAACAAGCACCTGCAGTTTCCGCATTCTCTTCTGGAGCTTGTTTACCTCTAATATGTTCAGCGCCTAGCACACCGACTTTGGTCACAGGTCATTGAAGGATCTCGATAGCTATCCCGACGACTGTTCGTATTGTCTCCTTGTCTTTTTCCAGGATGGTTTGCTTGATAATGATCACGTTTGCTTACAGGACGATGGAGGTGTTCGTTTGACAAATCACTTCATGTACCGCGCAAGATCACGCACGTATTCATACACCCAATATGGCCAGAATTGACTGATGAACAGTTGTCTTTCTTCCGTCGTTGGTACCTAATAGCAGCTGCGAAATTCGGTGGTGCGTGCGCAGCAACTTTTATAAATTAGTATCCAGTAGCATATAAGCTTTTTACCTGAATAATATAGCTCACACCTGTAAGTTATGTGATTTTTTCAATTGTAGATGTTGATGTATATTCAGACCCTTGTCACAAGTGCTGAGATTGGTAAACTTGTAGATTATGTTCGGAAAGCAACTAGCCTTCCAAATCACTGACCTTGTGGCTCAGCAATGAAACAACTAGTAACGGACTGATAACGGCAAGTGCCGGAGCAGTATATTTGAAGAAGTTGTTCCTACAAAGTTGGTTACAAACCAAACTAGAATTAAAACATTGAATTAGATCTGAACCCTAAGGCTAGGCGCATAAGTCTTAGCTACTATATCCGGCAAGCCGATTGGGCATACTTCAACACTGTCGCTTGCGGCATAGGCAAGTGTCAGGTTACCGCTGCTGGCCGCAGTGGCCGGGCACTGAACTCGTAGCTCAGCAGAATGTCGCAGTAAAGCAAAGTGCCCTGCAACATTCTTGCGTTCTTATAAACAAAAGTGTGTTTTTATATGACATAAATATGAAGTGCAATTCTTATGTGTTGACTACTCCTCTCTCAAGCTTTTGACCGTTCCCGGTTATTTTATAACTGTTAATGGTTTTTAGGCGTAGGTCGTCGTTACTCATTCATTGACCGCTAGAATGTCATTGTCGCATTCGGCTATTGTATCATCTTGTAGCTGTAGTGTGACGTGTTGGTGTGCCACCGGAAAGATGGTGATTTTCTTGCAAAAGAGCTTGACCCTGGGATACGCTATTAATATATGGACAATGTTCTCGGACTGAAGAACCTTGATTTTAGACGCTTCGGTTGGGTTAACTATTGGAATTTCGACAGGATGTTTATTTATAATTGATTTCAAATCATCGTGGTCAAATATTGTGGGGTTTATTATACCCGCTTTGGCTAGTGTAATTGTAAGTATCAAGTTCGATATTTGATTTATAAGTATTATATTTCTTACTAATAGTGTTTCATATAAATGCGGTGTGTTTACCAATTAATTTCTTTTACATTTAATTATTTCGTTCACCGTGTCGGTGAGTTTGTTAATTTGTGTCTGTGTTTGTGTATTAATGACTACCTGCCTATTGTTCGCATCAATCAAATTTGACTCGGACCACCTTACATTTTCGAATTCAGAGGCGTCTAGCCTGATATAACCTTGAGTGCTAAATCTCGGGAACCATCTTCAGAGCACTAACCAAGAGACCACAAAGAAATTGGACACGATATTAAACAACATTTGACCAAAAACGACTTCTCACAGAATATAATTAATACATTTTTAAATAGACAACAATGTAGAACACAATAGCCTACAGAACTTTTCAAAATATATATGTCTTTAATACAAGTACCACAATTATCAGTACGTCTCACGAACTCAGAATACTACAACAAGCAAGAAATAAAAGTAGCACACAACCCTACGAAAACATGACAACAAAATTTTAAACAATACTACTGTCTGGTTACGCAGCCAAAACAACTGGAGCGACTTCGCAACTGATAAGAGCAGCATCTTAATTTTATCTTATAATACTCGCTCTGCAAAACAAGGGCCTAAATTTCGCTCTTAAGAATTCATTTACATAGAGCTGCCGCTCTTCGCTGTAACAATCGTTTTATTGCCCTAGCTTTACTTATGCGAAGGCCTCGATGCTGCGCATCGCGTTAGTTAAGTTCGTTCGCTTCATGCATTTGGTACGCATCGGCCACTTGCATTACTCAAAATTATAACTAATAATTGTCTCTTCGCTAAAATTGGCACGTTCTTATTCGGGTTCGCTTGCCTATATACAAACTATTGTTCTTAAATAATAAGCACAGACCAATTCGGGTCTGCCTGCTTCTCGTAACTTTAAGAAATATAAAACAATTTTGAACACAAAAAATAAATAGTTCAATCTTTCTATTTGTGAAAGCTATTGAAAAAGCTCAATAGCGCAACAACTACAATACATAGAAGTAATGTAATTTACAAAATACATTGTTGCGGGGTCACCAACAATAATTTCAATAGAGTGTAAACTAAAAACAATGACAATGCGACACAAATCGGACTTCAGATTAAGAATTCTCGAATTCGCGACCGCACCACCTCTACTCAACAGTCACACCAATAATTGTGTCTTATTGAATTAAAATATCAGCACAAGAAACAATCGCAATCGCAATGCTGTTGACAGATTTCGCAGCAGATGCGCATGAATGTGTGTGTGTGTACATGTATACAGAAATTCTTGGAATTTGACCCCATCCAACTGCGCAGTAAGACACATAACTTATGGGATTTTCTTAACCAATCTAAATAAAATGTTCTACAGTACATCTTATTGAACCATCAGAACATCTTATTGAACTCAAAAAGAAAATTGCATTTAAAATGTGGCTCAAATTCATGGGCAATATAAGTGTGGTTATTAACTTGATTTATAGCTCTGCGGTGGTAGCGGAAAGGTGGCAATAGGTATTAACTGAGAGGACCTTGATATATATATATATGTATGTATATATATATATATATATATATACTAGTCTAAAAGCAATATATCAATTATTTTACTCTAGCTCTTATTATTTACCAAAATTGGTAAAAAAAAAGGATTTTGATGTCGATTTTTATCGATTACTTGGAAACGGACCAAGTTATCGAATATCGGAAAATCTGTCTCTAACTGCTATAGTTTCTGATATCCTCGCGTTCATACGTTCGGATAGACGGATGGACGGTTAGACAGACAGACGGACGGATATGGCTGGATTGATTTGGCTGTTGATGCTGATCAAGAATATATGTATGTACTTTATGGGATCGGTGCTTCTATCTTCTGCCTGTTTCATATATTTACATAAATACATTATACTTGTTTTACGCATTTTAATGGGTTCAGGGTATAAAATTAGCACCAATGACCGACTGTATGACAAGGAAACAACAATAATCCTGCAACACTTCAACATACAGCATACAATAAAATAGCTACACAACAAACTAAAGAGTAAACTTAAACAAATACACATAAAATTGCGCTCGCTTGTGTTGAGACTTATTAAATAGCCAAAGAATTTCAATCTCCAAGTCAAGAAGCGCAGACGTATGTTACATGTTTAATTTATTGCTTAAATTAATTTATTTTAATGTTATTTGTTTATTGTTTCTTGGTGTTAGTGCCCTGAAGACGGTTGCCGATAAGCAATCGAAGTAAGCCAATTTTTTTCAATTTTTCAATTTTCAATAAACTAAACCCTGGCCCTCGAGCTAGCAAATCAAAATACAAAAAAAATTAAAATTAAATTGTTTATTAAAAAAATTATTTAATGACTGATAACTTTCCCTAGCACTATATTTTACACGATTTGGGTCGAGCAGTTCGAAAGCAGCACCACGAACAGTTCGAAAGCAGCACCACGCTTAGACATAGCAGCGAGTAAACGGTTTATTGCTGCAGAAATGCACACACCATTTGTAGATATGGAAGATATATGCAAGCTCAATATATGCGTAGCCTGACGGAGGCAAGCGGCTCCAATCTCCAATAATCTTGGAACATGAAAATCGTTAAATAAAAAATATGTTTAAGTAACACAAAGGTTAACCCCGTAAAATAACAGTGTTGACTCTTAAATGGTCTTACAAACAATATACAAATATATTGCTGTATATACTATATATTACGCAGGAATATGTTGCTAGATTAATATAATTGCGGATAGGTTGCAATTGAATTTAGAATAAAGAACGCGGAATGAAATGTTTTCTGTTTGAATTGTTTGCATTATGTCGGTCATGGACTTTACCACCGCATACAAAGCAACGAACCTGCTTTCGAAATTTAAAAATAATAAGTAAATAAATCTATACCTACATTTATTATATTAATAAAAGGGAGTCAATACAGTCTATTGTACCTAGTGCTCGCTAATGAACAAGAGTTGTTCGACTTTATGGCAGTGGCTCGTAACCAACCAGGAGCGGCGTGAGTTGCCTCTGATTAGGCAAGTCCAGAAAACATGTGTAGATTTAGTTAACGTATTGTCTCGATAGTGGGTCTGTTATCCAGAACTACTATAAAGATTTGACCAATATCATCTAGGTACTATTTAGAAAAGATCACAATATTTTTCATTTAATGTTGAGGCCTTGGTAACAAGCACCTGCAGTTTCCGCATTCTCTTCTGGAGCTTGTTTACCTCTAATATGTTCAGCGCCTAGCACACCGACTTTGGTCACAGGTCATTGAAGGATCTCGATAGCTATCCCGACGACTGTTCGTATTGTCTCCTTGTCTTTTTCCAGGATGGTTTGCTTGATAATGATCACGTTTGCTTACAGGACGATGGAGGTGTTCGTTTGACAAATCACTTCATGTACCGCGCAAGATCACGCACGTATTCATACACCCAATATGGCCAGAATTGACTGATGAACAGTTGTCTTTCTTCCGTCGTTGGTACCTAATAGCAGCTGCGAAATTCGGTGGTATAAATTAGTATCCAGTAGCATATAAGCTTTTTACCTGAATAATATAGCTCACACCTGTAAGTTATGTGATTTTTTCAATTGTAGATGTTGATGTATATTCAGACCCTTGTCACAAGTGCTGAGATTGGTAAACTTGTAGGTTATGTTCGGAAAGCAACTAGCCTTCCAAATCACTGACCTTGTGGCTCAGCAATGAAACAACTAGTAACGGACTGATAACGGCAAGTGCCGGAGCAGTATATTTGAAGAAGTTGTTCCTACAAAGTTGGTTACAAACCAAACTAGAATTAAAACATTGAATTAGATCTGAACCCTAAGGCTAGGCGCATAAGTCTTAGCTACTATATCCGGCAAGCCGATTGGGCATACTCCAACACTGTCGCTTGCGGCATAGGCAAGTGTCAGGTTACCGCTGCTGGCCGCAGTGGCCGGGCACTGAACTCGTAGCTCAGCAGAATGTCGCAGTAAAGCAAAGTGCCCTGCAACATTCTTGCGTTCTTATAAACAAAAGTGTGTTTTTATATGACATAAATATGAAGTGCAATTCTTATGTGTTGACTACTCCTCTCTCAAGCTTTTGACCGTTCCCGGTTATTTTATAACTGTTAATGGTTTTTAGGCGTAGGTCGTCGTTACTCATTCATTGACCGCTAGAATGTCATTGTCGCATTCGGCTATTGTATCATCTTGTAGCTGTAGTGTGACGTGTTGGTGTGCCACCGGAAAGATGGTGATTTTCTTGCAAAAGAGCTTGACCCTGGGATACGCTATTAATATATGGACAATGTTCTCGGACTGAAGAACCTTGATTTTAGACGCTTCGGTTGGGTTAACTATTGGAATTTCGACAGGATGTTTATTTATAATTGATTTCAAATCATCGTGGTCAAATATTGTGGGGTTTATTATACCCGCTTTGGCTAGTGTAATTGTAAGTATCAAGTTCGATATTTGATTTATAAGTATTATATTTCTTACTAATAGTGTTTCATATAAATGCGGTGTGTTTACCAATTAATTTCTTTTACATTTAATTATTTCGTTCACCGTGTCGGTGAGTTTGTTAATTTGTGTCTGTGTTTGTGTATTAATGACTACCTGCCTATTGTTCGCATCAATCAAATTTGACTCGGACCACCTTACATTTTCGAATTCAGAGGCGTCTAGCCTGATATAACCTTGAGTGCTAAATCTCGGGAACCATCTTCAGAGCACTAACCAAGAGACCACAAAGAAATTGGACACGATATTAAACAACATTTGACCAAAAACGACTTCTCACAGAATATAATTAATACATTTTTAAATAGACAACAATGTAGAACACAATAGCCTACAGAACTTTTCAAAATATATATGTCTTTAATACAAGTACCACAATTATCAGTACGTCTCACGAACTCAGAATACTACAACAAGCAAGAAATAAAAGTAGCACACAACCCTACGAAAACATGACAACAAAATTTTCAACAATACTACTGTCTGGTTACGCAGCCAAAACAACTGGAGCGACTTCGCAACTGATAAGAGCAGCATCTTAATTTTATCTTATAATACTCGCTCTGCAAAACAAGGGCCTAAATTTCGCTCTTAAGAATTCATTTACATAGAGCTGCCGCTCTTCGCTGTAACAATCGTTTTATTGCCCTAGCTTTACTTATGCGAAGGCCTCGATGCTGCGCATCGCGTTAGTTAAGTTCGTTCGCTTCATGCATTTGGTACGCATCGGCCACTTGCATTACTCAAAATTATAACTAATAATTGTCTCTTCGCTAAAATTGGCACGTTCTTATTCGGGTTCGCTTGCCTATATACAAACTATTGTTCTTAAATAATAAGCACAGACCAATTCGGGTCTGCCTGCTTCTCGTAACTTTAAGAAATATAAAACAATTTTGAACACAAAAAATAAATAGTTCAATCTTTCTATTTGTGAAAGCTATTGAAAAAGCTCAATAGCGCAACAACTACAATACATAGAAGTAATGTAATTTACAAAATACATTGTTGCAGGGTCACCAACAATAATTTCAATAGAGTGTAAACTAAAAACAATGACAATGCGACACAAATCGGACTTCAGATTAAGAATTCTCGAATTCGCGACCGCACCACCTCTACTCAACAGTCACACCAATAATTGTGTCTTATTGAATTAAAATATCAGCACAAGAAACAATCGCAATCGCAATGCTGTTGACAGATTTCGCAGCAGATGCGCATGAATGTGTGTGTGTGTACATGTATACAGAAATTCTTGGAATTTGACCCCATCCAACTGCGCAGTAAGACACATAACTTATGGGATTTTCTTAACCAATCTAAATAAAATGTTCTACAGTACATCTTATTGAACCATCAGAACATCTTATTGAACTCAAAAAGAAAATTGCATTTAAAATGTGGCTCAAATTCATGGGCAATATAAGTGTGGTTATTAACTTGATTTATAGCTCTGCGGTGGTAGCGGAAAGGTGGCAATAGGTATTAACTGAGAGGACCTTGATATATATATATATGTATGTATATATATATATATATATATACTAGTCTAAAAGCAATATATCAATTATTTTACTCTAGCTCTTATTATTTACCAAAATTGGTAAAAAAAAGGATTTTGATGTCGATTTTTATCGATTACTTGGAAACGGACCAAGTTATCGAATATCGGAAAATCTGTCTCTAACTGCTATAGTTTCTGATATCCTCGCGTTCATACGTTCGGATAGACGGATGGACGGTTAGACAGACAGACGGACGGATATGGCTGGATTGATTTGGCTGTTGATGCTGATCAAGAATATATGTATGTACTTTATGGGATCGGTGCTTCTATCTTCTGCCTGTTTCATATATTTACATAAATACATTATACTTGTTTTACGCATTTTAATGGGTTCAGGGTATAAAATTAGCACCAATGACCGACTGTATGACAAGGAAACAACAATAATCCTGCAACACTTCAACATACAGCATACAATAAAATAGCTACACAACAAACTAAAGAGTAAACTTAAACAAATACACATAAAATTGCGCTCGCTTGTGTTGAGACTTATTAAATAGCCAAAGAATTTCAATCTCCAAGTCAAGAAGCGCAGACGTATGTTACATGTTTAATTTATTGCTTAAATTAATTTATTTTAATGTTATTTGTTTATTGTTTCTTGGTGTTAGTGCCCTGAAGACGGTTGCCGATAAGCAATCGAATAAAGCCAATTTTTTTCAATTTTTCAATTTTCAATAAACTAAACCCTGGCCCTCGAGCTAGCAAATCAAAATACAAAAAAAATTAAAATTAAATTGTTTATTAAAAAAATTATTTAATGACTGATAACTTTCCCTAGCACTATATCTTACACGATTTGGGTCGAGCAGTTCGAAAGCAGCACCACGAACAGTTCGAAAGCAGCACCACGCTTAGACATAGCAGCGAGTAAACGGTTTATTGCTGCAGAAATGCACACACCATTTGTAGATATGGAAGATATATGCAAGCTCAATATATGCGTAGCCTGACGGAGGCAAGCGGCTCCAATCTCCAATAATCTTGGAACATGAAAATCGTTAAATAAAAAATATGTTTAAGTAACACAAAGGTTAACCCCGTAAAATAACAGTGTTGACTCTTAAATGGTCTTACAAACAATATACAAATATATTGCTGTATATACTATATATTACGCAGGAATATGTTGCTAGATTAATATAATTGCGGATAGGTTGCAATTGAATTTAGAATAAAGAACGCGGAATGAAATGTTTTCTGTTTGAATTGTTTGCATTATGTCGGTCATGGACTTTACCACCGCATACAAAGCAACGAACCTGCTTTCGAAATTTAAAAATAATAAGTAAATAAATCTATACCTACATTTATTATATTAATAAAAGGGAGTCAATACAGTCTATTGTACCTAGTGCTCGCTAATGAACAAGAGTTGTTCGACTTTATGGCAGTGGCTCGTAACCAACCAGGAGCGGCGTGAGTTGCCTCTGATTAGGCAAGTCCAGAAAACATGTGTAGATTTAGTTAACGTATTGTCTCGATAGTGGGTCTGTTATCCAGAACTACTATAAAGATTTGACCAATATCATCTAGGTACTATTTAGAAAAGATCACAATATTTTTCATTTAATGTTGAGGCCTTGGTAACAAGCACCTGCAGTTTCCGCATTCTCTTCTGGAGCTTGTTTACCTCTAATATGTTCAGCGCCTAGCACACCGACTTTGGTCACAGGTCATTGAAGGATCTCGATAGCTATCCCGACGACTGTTCGTATTGTCTCCTTGTCTTTTTCCAGGATGGTTTGCTTGATAATGATCACGTTTGCTTACAGGACGATGGAGGTGTTCGTTTGACAAATCACTTCATGTACCGCGCAAGATCACGCACGTATTCATACACCCAATATGGCCAGAATTGACTGATGAACAGTTGTCTTTCTTCCGTCGTTGGTACCTAATAGCAGCTGCGAAATTCGGTGGTGCGTGCGCAGCAACTTTTATAAATTAGTATCCAGTAGCATATAAGTAGCATCGTAGTCAAATATTGTGGGATTTATTATACCCGCTTTGGCTAGTGTAATTGTAAGTATCAAGTTTATTTGATTTATTAGTATTATATTTCTTACTAATAGTGTTTCATATAAATGCGGTGTGTTTACCAATTAATTTCTTTTACATTTAATTATTTCGTTCACCGTGTCGGTGAGTTTGTTAATTTGTGTCTGTGTTTGTGTATTAATGACTACCTGCCTATTGTTCGCATCAATCAAATTTGACTCGGACCACCTTACATTTTCGAATTCAGAGGCGTCTAGCCTGATATAACCTTGAGTGCTAAATCTCGGGAACCATCTTCAGAGCACTAACCAAGAGACCACAAAGAAATTGGACACGATATTAAACAACATTTGACCAAAAACGACTTCTCACAGAATATAATTAATACATTTTTAAATAGACAACAATGTAGAACACAATAGCCTACAGAACTTTTCAAAATATATATGTCTTTAATACAAGTACCACAATTATCAGTACGTCTCACGAACTCAGAATACTACAACAAGCAAGAAATAAAAGTAGCACACAACCCTACGAAAACATGACAACAAAATTTTCAACAATACTACTGTCTGGTTACGCAGCCAAAACAACTGGAGTGACTTCGCAACTGATAAGAGCAGCATCTTAATTTTATCTTATAATACTCGCTCTGCAAAACAAGGGCCTAAATTTCGCTCTTAAGAATTCATTTACATAAAGCTGCCGCTCTTCGCTGTAACAATCGTTTTATTGCCCTAGCTTTACTTATGCGAAGGCCTCGATGCTGCGCATCGAGTTAGTTAAGTTCGTTCGCTTCATGCATTTGGTACGCATCGGCCACTTGCATTACTCAAAATTATAACTAATAATTGTCTCTTCGCTAAAATTGACACGTTCTTATTCGGGTTCGCTTGCCTATATACAAACTATTGTTCTTAAATAATAAGCACAGACCAATTCGGGTCTGCCTGCTTCTCGTAACTTTAAGAAATATAAAACAATTTTGAACACAAAAAATAAATAGTTCAATCTTTCTATTTGTGAAAGCTATTGAAAAAGCTCAATAGCGCAACAACTACAATACATAGAAGTAATGTAATTTACAAAATACATTATTGCGGGGTCACCAACAATAATTTCAATAGAGTGTAAACTAAAAACAATGACAATGCGACACAAATCGGACTTCAGATTAAGAATTCTCGAATTCGCGACAGACCGCACCACCTCTACTCAACAGTCACACCAATAATTGTGTCTTATTGAATTAAAATATCAGCACAAGAAACAATCGCAATCGCAATGCTGTTGACAGATTTCGCAGCAGATGCGCATGAATGTGTGTGTGTGTACATGTATACAGAAATTCTTGGAGTTTGACCCCATCCAACTGCGCAGTAAGACACATAACTCATGGGATTTTCTTAACCAATCTAAATAAAATGTTCTACAGTACATCTTATTGAACCATCAGAACATCTTATTGAACTCAAAAAGAAAATTGCATTTAAAATGTGGCTCAAATTCATGGGCAATATAAGTGTGGTTATTAACTTGATTTATAGCTCTGCGGTGGTAGCGGAAAGGTGGGAATAGGTATTAACTGAGAGGACCTTGATATATATATATATGTATGTATATATATATAATTAAGTTTTACACGTTAGGTTACTATAAAAAAATATATTTCAATTTATTATTTTCACTTAACGGCTACTTTTGTTGAGTACATTCAGATTTGCTTTCCGAATATGAACTGATTTATCTAACTGTTGCGGTCGCTTAGCAAACTTCGCTTTGAGAGAGTTTGAGTCAAAATTGAGTGAAGTTTGAGCTGCGTCAGCAATTATGCGTGGGATAGTACTCTGATGGGAACATTGACAGTGGCGTGATATTTAGGGTGAATTGTTTATGTCTACCAAAGGGGGACAGTTTGATCTTGACCAATGTCGATGTTATCACCAGGCTCTTTGTTTACAATATTAGAAATGTTTATAATTGTGCTTATGCTTATGTGCTAAGTTATGTTAAAGGGTGGGTGCGACTATGGATATGTCACTCCCCCAACCATTAGAAAAGTGCCTGTCCTCAGGTGTTTAAGTTTGGATATAGTGTAACATTTTCTTCTTTTACAATTGGTATATCTCCTATTATTGTAGGTGTTTCTTCTACTTTGGGTTTTTTATATTTTATAATTAATTTCTTAGGTATGCTTTTGAACTTATATGTCAAATACAGTGTTAAACTTATTAATATGATTACAAATATGGTTATTGTAATTATCTGGAATACATTGTTAAATTTTGTATGTGCATTTATAATTTGTTTCGTTTGTACAAACGAAAGTGGTTCTAATTTTATAACATCATTGCTTACGTAAATGCTTTGAGTATAATCTAACACATTGTTTGAAATTGAAATTTCATTAATTTGCAGTGAACAATTAAAGATTTTTATTATATTGTTTCCTTCTATTGTTATTTCGTTATTTATACAATTATGATTTAATATAGTTTTTGGTAAATTCCAAGTTAAAATTATATTTGGTTCTATGTAGTTGATTTGAAAATTTTGCAAAATTTTAGTATAACTACATTCTGATGTTATTTGGTTTAAAATTCCTGTTAAACATTCATTATTAATTAATTTTTTTGTTTCTCTGCTATAAACTTTTTTATCTTGGGTAAAATATTTTTCATGAGCTATTTCTGTCAAAATATTATTATTTTCATCCGGGTATGGAATTATTTCGAATACCGGGCTTTTTATTATTTCTCGAGGAATATGGGATATTATCAGTATTTCGTTTGTATCTGATTTAAACCAAGTGGAAGTTTTTGTATTCAACAATTTCTCAGAATTAACATGCAACAAATAGTCATGTTTTAGTAATTTTGGGTTAAAAATTCCTAATCTTGTGAGCTGCATTCCCATCTCAATGTCTTCTATATATTCTGTAAAGTGTTGTAAGTTAAATATAAGGATATCTAATTTCTTTCCTTTTTGTTTCTCTTGATCTAGTTCGTTCATGATTTCTATTCCTTTGTTTATAGCTTCTATTATGTAATTTAATTCGTTAACCTGAACGCTGTTTTCTGCTAAGTTGCTTATTTTTTGTTCAATTTCTGCTTTGTCTTCTTGATCTAATGTTCCAAATAAGTATTTATATGCTGTTCCTACTATGTTAACTAAACCTCTTTTGCTGCGTTTGGCTATTTTTAAGCCGTTTATTTCTCTGTTTAATTTTTCTTTTTGAATTTGGTTTTGTAATGTGTTATTTTCCTGCCTCTGTTAGTTTCCTCAAAATGTTTGTCGTCGATTTGTCTTAGTTCTCCTGTTTTCTTGAACGGGGTTGTCGTCTTTGATTTAACTAACGGTGAGTGTTTGTATCTAGTGTCAATTTCATAATTTGTTCGTTTTTTGTTGAGGTTATTTATTAGTTTTTCTTTATTAGCTTGAGTGTCATACTCTGGTGTACCTGCATATATGAATATGTCCGCTGGTGTTCTGTTAGTCGTTTTGTGCTTTGTTTTATGATTGTACGTGTAGAGTATAGTTTCAAATTTTGTAAGTTTATTTTCGACGTCTGAGTCGCTGTTAATGATTCTTAGTTTTTCGTTAACTGTCTTATGAAATCGTTCTACGTCGGATATACCGTTTTTACTAGTGGTTATATTAATATTTACTGCTTCTGATTTTAGCCATAATTGTAAAGCTGTGCACATAAAAGCTGAGTCTTTGTCTGCCTTTATTTCGATGGGTTTACCCATTTGGTTGAACACTTGTAATATAGCTCGTTTGGTTTCTAGCCAGTCTCTACTTTTTATTTCTATTAATGATGCAAATTTTGAATAGATATCAATGCAAGATAAAAATTGTTTATCTCCTACTATGTAAAAATCCATTACATATTTTTCTCGGATATTAGCGATTTCCGGAGTTATTTCGAAAGTTAATTTTGTATCTCTGTGTTCTGTTTTTGCGATGTTGCAAATCTCACATTCATTTATTAGATTTTGAATTAAATTTTGATAATCTGGGAAATAGTGGGTTTCTTTGAACCAATTGATAGTTTTTTCAATTCCTGGGTGTAATAATTCTTTGTGCTTTTTTAATATTAATTCTTTGGCATGCGTATTAGTCATGTCTTTGTACGTAATTTTTATGTTGGTTTTGTGAAAGTAATTCGTAACTTTTGTTTCGTTCTCGGTT